TGCTCTAAGCCCTTGACTACAGCTTGAAGAATACCTCCTTCCGACCCTCATCTCCTGTGACTTGCTTGGTGTAAGTGCACAAGGTGTGTGAACTGCTCTAAGCCCTTGACTACAGCTTGAAGAATACCTCCTTCCGACCCTCATCTCCTGTGACTTGCTTGGTGTAAGTGCACAAGGTGTGTGAACTCCTCAGACACAGCCTTCAGCTTTTTCTCCAGTGCCTCATTTTTTTCAGTGTCCCTAGTCATGTGTATCTTGGCTCCTATCTACAACAAATAGGTGGATGAGTCATGTAAGGATTGGTTGGTTCATGCATTTACAGTATGCACTTCAATGTTTTTCATCTGGCAATTCAGTCAACTCCTTAAGCACTGCATTTTTGTACCTTACGGGACAATACAGAACAGCAGGAGAAAGAGTGCTGAAAATGGGATATCCCATTTGAAAACAACAGAGAACGAATCGCCTTCAGACTTGCTGAGCATATGAGTTAGGCTGCTGGCTCCATGACCCTGTGCAGCTGAGATAGGACAATTGTTCCTGTGTGTGTGAGTGTTTCTCCAGCGGTGACATTGCAAGAGAGAAGATCCAGGGCTTAGGGATTTCTTTTCTTTTTTGTCTTTTCCACTTTTTCAAAAGCACCATTGCCCTCCCCCACCCACCGGATCCCCAGAAACTTGAGGCATAAATTTGTCAAGGGCGAGGCTGTTGGACCTGGGTCCTTCTATGTAAACTCCAGTTTGTGGGATGGGGCAGGGGGGGGGGCTCCTGTAGTCTGGTGTCTGGGACTGGACCACACTAGGTCTGTCTTGTGCAGTCCCCTGCTGAGCCTCAGAGCCAAGCCAAACAGCTCGCACAGCTTCAACAAGAGCGTGATCATTGATCTTTTAGAATGGTGAACACTACAAACAGAGGTTGTGAAGAAAATTGCACAGTATTGAATGTTCTCTTGACCCTTGTGCTCACTAAGCCTCTCAGGGTGATGAAGCTGATCTTTTTTGTTATTGTTGGTCATGGGGCTCAAACTCAGAGTCTGGGCGCTGTCCCTGAGCTTTTGTGCTCAAGGCTAGAGCTCTACCACTTTGCACCACTTGCAGTTTTCTGATGGTTCATTGGTCATGGACTTTCCTACCTGGGCTGGCTTTGAACCTCAGATCTCAGCCTCCTGAGTAGCTAGGATTACAGGTGTGAGCCATCCTCACCCAGCCATGAAACTGATCTTAAGGGGAGAAAAATTACCATCATTGATCAGAGAATGGTAATGTTCCAATGATCCAACCTCTGCAGTTAAAATTGCAGAGACTATGGTGCAGGGAATGGCTATTTTTGGTTGTTTTTTGTTCTAATTTCACCAGCCATTAATTTTGGCAAGTGACTGCTGGACCTCAAGTCAAATCCTGACACTTCCTGATGGGGAGTCTCAGCCTTAGTCCCCACCTGGATGCAGGAGGTGCCTGGGAGCGCAGGGCAGGCTCACAGGGAGTGTCAGGTCACCATGGTGCATGCTGGAACAGGCAGCAGGAAAGAAATGGGGTGCCTGAGAGATGTCCTGAGGCCCCACCATGCTCAGGAGGACAGGAGAGATGTCACCTGTTAAAGATCCTAGGGACATTTGTCACCTTATATGTCTTTTACAATCAACTGTTTGAACTATAGAAATGACTCTCACCCATTCCTTCTCTCTTCCTCCTGTCCCCTCTCCACATCCAACTCTCTATGGGCCATAAAAGAGGAGGGACACCACAGATATAGTCCACTGTGTTGCTTTGAGTAGTGTGAGCATAAATCTTCTCAAATGGTGCACAAAATGAGACCGGCATCAAAGGCTCATGACTACACAGGAGGCTGAGATCTGAAAAATTGTAGTTCTGGACCAGGCTGAGCAAAAAGTTCTTGAGACTTTATCTTAGCAGAAGAAGCTGGGTGTGGTGGTATGCACCTGTCATTCCAGCTACAATGTAAAGACAGCCTATCGCTAAATAACAGGTGTTAAAAAAATAAAAAAAGCTTAGAGAGTCTGGGAAGGTGGCTCAGTGGTAGAGTGCTTGCTTTGCATGCATGAGGCCCTGGGTTTGATTCCTCAGCACCACATAAGCAGAAAAAGCTGAAAGTGGTGCTATGGCTCAAGTGGTAGAGCGCTAGCCTTGAGCTGAAGAGCTGGGGGACAGGGCCCAGGCCCACAGTTCAGGCCCCACGACCGACCAAAAAAAAAAAAAAAGCTTAGAGGTGTGGCTAAGTGATAGAGCTTGTGCCTACAAGTGTGAGGTACTGAGTTCAAAACCACAGTATTGCCAAATGATAGGAAATAAGGCTATGGAGCAGAATGCCTGCTCTCTTCTCTGTGGTCCTCTTGTGCCCTAACCTTGTTCTTGCCAACACATACACACTCATACATATCATCACACATATAGTCCTTCATATACACACACACACACACACACACACACACACATATATTCATGTACCGTGTGGGAATAAGTGGGAGTAAGCATTTGGAGCTTCCTGTACGAGGGATGTGGCCTCCATCATTTGAGCTTGGCAGAGGGGGGCCCCAACAGGCTTCTGGGTGGGGAGAGAAGGGAAGGAGGAAGGGAAGCTCTTTAGTAGGTCCTGATGCAGGCTGTTGCTACAGGGAATAGCAGCATGTGCTGCTTGAGGAGTCTAGTGATTCCATTGGTCTGATGCTTGGCTTCTGTGAGATTAGAAGTGGGGTGGGAACGAGGCCCTCTCAGCGCATCATCTGACTTCTTGCAGCTCTGATTTCCACAGGCTGCTTCTTTGGCTGGTTATTGAAGATCCTGGGTTGGTGTCCTGCACTGGCTGTGGCAGAGTGTGGGTTTGATGTGTATTTGTGTATTAGTCTTTGGATGTCCACCATCCATGAAATGTGCCCATTGCCCTCACACACCAGATGGCACACACACACACTGACAGGAGCCTTCCGCTGCCGCTTTCCTAGGGGACTGACGGCTCCCTCAGATAAGATGTGGTGACACCATGAGGGGCTGTCAGTCCCTCTCAGTGCTGTGAGGAAGGAATGGGGGAGGCAGAGAGGCCTCGGGTGCTGAAGTGGGCCCAAAGAGACCAGTGGGCTGGGGCTGGGCAGGAAGACGAGAGTACGCAGGAAGCCCAGCAGGACAACAAGGACGCTGCAGCCAGTTGGCTGCCTTTGAAGCTGTGGCAGCTGAATTTGCACAGCTGGGTTCCTTCTGACCAGCCTGGCTGCAACCTTAGGGTCTCACTCCCTGCATCGCGGTTGCCAGCCTGGTCCTATGCTGATTGGCCGGTCATTTAGAGAAGCTGCTGCAGGCTTTAGGGGTTGTCCAGGAGAGACCCCAGGGTCAGGCACCACAAAGGAAAGTGAAAGGCTTGTGACTAGCCAAGTGTGAGTGAACCAGGAGTGTGTGGGAAACAGGGCAGAGGTCTGGAGGGCACTTTGGGCATGGTGTCAGCTGATCTGAGATTGTCAGCTGCTCAGAGACTCACTGTGCCCTGATCCACCAGCCCCTCCTTAGGGAGGGGCTTCTCTGTCTTGTTCTCCAGTTTAGCTAGCATTTAGTACCCATTTTTTTTATTTGTTTGTTTTTGTCAGTCATGGGCACTGTCCCTCAGCTCTTCAGCTCAAGGCTAGCGCTCTACCACTTGAGGCATAAAGCCACTTCCGGCTTTTTCTGCTTATGTGGTGCTGAGGAATCAAACCCAGGGCCTCATGCTTACAAGGTAAGCACTCTACCACTGAGCCATCTTCCCAGCCCCTCTCCCC